TAATCTGTTTGTATTTCGATTTCTTAAAATGCTGCCACAAGTAACTTCCAATCATGTCCACAATTTGAGGAATATTGTTGTATAACTACAAAGTTTAAAATGTCTGTAAAAGTACCCTGATACATGGATCCAAAAGACCCTACACTGAAGGCAGTGATTCTCAGATGATGCCATTTCATTCTCAGGAGACACGTAGCAATGTCTGGAGATATTTTTGACTTTCACAGCTAGCATCTACTTAGGAGTCTAGAGGAGAAGGGGTGCACTAAACATTTTACAATGCATAGAACAGCCCCCGACTCCACAACAAAGAATTAGCAGTTCAAAGCATCCATAGTACCAAGATCAAAAACCCTGTTTCAGGGATCATAAAATGAGTCAACACTTGTAATCTACTGTAGGTCTATTTGGAATAATAGAAGCTGTCCATAAACACAAGAAGGAGCCATTCAAGATCAGTTTTAACCTCCTCATCCTTTTCTGTCTCTTTTTCTTTAAATTGTAGTTGTTAGCTTAGGATGAAGTTTGAGCATAACAACCTTTGGATTTTCTCTGAGGTTCAACCCAGTGAATAAATATGCCATCAGGAATGAACTTGTCATTTTCTTTCATTGAGAACGCACCAGATATTTTTTTGACTATTGATAGGTTTTCTATTTTATGATTCACTATTTTCCCAGTCTCTTTCCTATTAAACCATTTATTCAGGTCCCTTCCTCACTTAGTCATGGCAGCACACTTGAAAAGAAGAGAAGTAAATTTGGCTAACTAGATTAGACATCATCTTTAGAGTATTCTCCCATTACTTATGAAATTTGATTCTGCTATTTTGATGGAAAATGACCTTCTGCTAACCTTGAAGTGTCATCATAAGCCCTGCTGTTAAACTGTCTCATTTTTAGCCACTGGTTCATTCATTCCTCTATCTATAGCTGTTTCAGACCAGTTTTCCTTGAGCATGGAGGAGACATGCATTCTTGGTGTGATAGCAAGCCTTCATCCTCCACATCCTCCTTCTGTGCCTGATATAAGAGAGACTCTTAAATGTCTTTGGCAGCCTGTTGCTTTTTGACGTGTTATTGGTTATTTCTGGGCCCCCTAATAAGACTGCCATATGCTCTACATCTTTCAGAGACGGCTTGACATAAAAGACCTGGTTTTCCCCTTCTTTTCTTTGGATAAAGATAAAATGCATGACAGATATCTCTCTAAATCAAATATCAAAACTGGAATAGTGATGGAAAATAAAACCAATGCTATTTGAGGTTATTATCTACCATATTTATTTTAGCATATTTACCTCATGCATCTTGAATTACATAAACAACAACATTTGTATTTAGTAAATGACTTATTATAAGTAATTTATAATAAACAGTGGGAAGGACACATGTGTGTATCCACCTTGAAATTTTAGATTTTTATACAAACAGATTCCAGAAATTGATGTTGAAAAGCTACTGTGGTGCATCAGTTTCATTCCTTTTGCTTTAAGAGTACTATAGAGACACAGATCTGTTTTTTATCTTCCTACTCCTGTGCTAAAAATATAAAGACAATGTGTGGACTAGAAAGATGAAGGGAGGTAACAAGGAAGGGTCAAGGGATCAGTCTCTCTTCTAACACTCCTATGCCTAATCTGTTTGTTCTCTCTGCTCTTGCTCAATTTCTAAGCAAACCCAATAGGACTAAGGAAGTTGATAAAGTTAGATAAAGAAATGATGGTATGTATGGTGCTTCACTTTAGAGCAGAATGATAGAATAAAATACAGGTATGGACACGAGAGAAGAGATTCTACCCTCTTTGTTGTTAGCAAGCACCTATTGGCATTCAGTCCTATGTAGGTGTCAGACAAGGCTAATTATACAGATCCCTGTATCTAGCCATTTATAACTTTAGAAAAGTATCATGTGTAATAATAAAACATGTCTTAGAATTGGATTATGGCTCACAAATTTTAGCAGTTGTATTAAATGAGGAGCAGAGGAGGTTGTGATTTTCTTGGTTTGGGCTTTGTGGTTTTTCTTTCTAGACTGGAGTGTCTTGTTTTCAGGATAATATACCAGCCCTCATAAGTGCTGTGCATTTTGTACCCAAGAAAGAGTTGTTGCCCTTAGCCTTCTACACATGCTGCCTGGGACTCAGCCCAATGACTCAGAGAAAGTTTTTGCTTTCTGAGAAGAGAAGAAAGAGGAGAAAAGGCCTAGGCAAGAAACTTCTGGAAAGAGGGTGAATGTTTAAATGTCATGTAGTGCAAGCATGTAGTCTGTAAGGTATGAAAAAGAGTAAGGAAAGCTGGCACCCAGAAGCCTCTTGTCAACAGAAGCCACTTTGTAACCTCTGTACCTTTTGTAAACCTAAAGTTTGTTTCACTTCTGCCAATTTGTGTGAGTCTTATTTCGTACATTCCTAGGGCCAACTTTCAGGGCCTTCTGTTGACCAGCTCTGGGCTTCAAGTTTGAAGTCCTTGACAATGCCTTTCTTCTGTTAGCAGTTGGCATTTTACTTGGAGGTTTCAGTTCTCTTTGTGGTTAGTTCTCCCAGTTAACTTCCACAAATTCATTTAACTTACTGATTCATCGTTATCATTGGATGCTTGATTTTACCTTTTCAGACTTTGATGCTTCTTTCCAATATTCCCACTTAGAGTTTGATAAGTTGTCTTATAAATTTGTATAAATTCACCATTTTGCCACATACTAAAATTCATCTTGCACTCAACATATGTGCACAAGATGCCAAATCACTATAGAAGGAGAATAAAAAGGAATAAAAAAGAATAAAAATCCTTGCTATAATGCAGTGCAAGGTCCTGTCCCCACCAGGTGATACCAATTTAAAAGAATCCTACTCCTATCTGGTAAGGCATGCCCAAAAGATGACTGATGCCCAGATTAGCTGTTGTATAATGTGCTTAGTCTAGGAAGGAATGGATAGATGCTGAGATACCTTTGAAGAGTTTGAATCACAGGCATTTTTGGCAGAGTGGCTTATTATTTGCATATGTGAATGTGAAGCATAGTTAGAACTAATTCTGTCTGAATGTGTCTTATTCTTTGATTCTCCAGGCTTCTCAAAGATTTTTATTAGCAAGACTTTGTCTCTGTCTCACAGATCTCTTAGATGACATCCTAGTACATATTGTTCACTTCCATGAAACGCACAGAAGTGTATGTGGCTTGAGGTGAAAAAGGGAGTCCTTGGGTCACTTGATCCTCTGCAGAGAACTTAATCAGGTCATCACAACCTCCTCCCTCTGGTGACCCTCTTCTATAAACAGGAACAGGAATTCTTGCCACTGGATCCCTCTCATCAGGAGGCTTAGGCTTACTGAATGAAAAGCCCTGTGAAAAGGAGATGCAGCCCTAATAATAACAGACAAGATCGTGATGGCTATTTTGGGTTAGAGCAGCTTTGTGCCGCTCTTGATCTCCATCGATGTCTGCCATTCCTGCCCTGCTATTACCTTTCAGACTTCCTATTCTTAGAATCATTTGTGAGCCCTGGGCTTGGGGGATTGCAGCCCCCAGGACTGGAATGCCCAGCTTGAGCGGAATGCAGACTGTCTGGCAGAGTGGAGGTTAAATAAAGTTTGCCTTGGCAGCCCCCTCTGCTCTTGGACATGTTACAAGTAATTTGGGTATAGGAGCAATGGTGTGAGCTGCCATGTGGTATGGTCCCAAACAGATTTCTGGACGTGAATAGAAGTGGTAGAAGGTCCATCCATGACCAGCTTAGCTATGCCAGCCTCTAACCAGGTCTACTAAGGAGACCTTGACAGTCTTAAACCTCAGCTAGTGATTATGTCACTCTGAAAAAAAATACAGGAACAAATAATGTTGAGACACCTTCCAGGTTTTTAGTTAAACTTTGGATTTGGTATATGGAAGAAAAAAGGGGAAGTATTTATTACGCTGAAAACAGTTGTCAGTTAACATACGTTTTTGAGCATAAAATATTTTGGGAAATATTTATGAAGTAGGAGACACAGAACTCTTGTGCCACTTACAATTGAGTTGAAGAAGCAAAGATATAAACAAATGAGAAATCATTCATACTCTAAAGTAAAATATTAGCTCCAAACTTGTGATCCAGCACTAAGGACTAGAAGAGGTCTCAGCAGGAAGAGAGCACCTCTTCCTGGAGGAGGTACAGCTAAACAAGGAGTGTTAAAGTGGCAGACTTCTGTTACTTGAGAGGAGAGGGCAGGTATAGAAACTCCTCAAAATAGGTCATAGGGACTTGAAGACCAACTGGACATGCCAGGATGACAAGAAAGAAGGTTAAGGGTTTGTTGTGTGAAAATCACAAAACCCTTAACTCTGAAGGCTGTGTGTACAGGTTACTTAGAAGGTTCTAATGATTCCTACTGGAAAGGTTAGATACAACCTTAACTCAAGATTGAGGCCCTTTTAGTGTTTGTTCTATAAAACCCTTGTACAACATGTGGCTCAGAGTGAATCAGTAAATAACACTATTATTGTTACTCAACTTCAAATTCTTAATCCCCATTGTTGAATTGGCTTGGTTTTGATTTTGAGCATTGGTTGTGACTTTGCTTTGTCCTATTCTAATTGTTCACATGACTTATTCTATTTTAATCCACTGGGGATACTATAAAAAATGCTATTAACTGAGTGGCTTATAAACAACTAAGTATATTTCATACAGTTCTGAAGGCTGGAAAGTTCAAGATCAAGGCACTAACAAATTTTATATCTTGCAAAGACCCACTTCCTGATTCGTAGACTGCCGTCTTCCCCTGTGTCCTCACATGATCTCTTGGGCCTCTTTTATAAGGCCATGAATCACATCATGAGGGCTCTTCCTCCATGATCTAATCGCTTCACAGAGTCCTCACCTCCTAATACCATCTCATTGAGGGTTAGGATTTCAATATTTTAATCTAGAAGGGAGATATAAACATCCAGTTCATTGTCTTGCTGCACCATTTTTTTCTCCCAGGTTAATATGAGATTTCTTTTCTTTTGTATCATAGGTGGCTAGAAGTGCAGGTAGCTAATCTCACATGTCCACAGCACTGGGTGCAGTACCTCCGGCTTCTTCGGGAGTCCATCTGGCCTGGTGGAGTTCTTCCCAAGTTTCCGCGGCCTGTAAGGACTCAGGAACAGAAAGTGGCTACTGAGAAGCAAGCTTTGCAAAGCCTGATGGGAGTCCTGCCAGGTAATTGGATAAAGAGATTGATTATATTGAGAGCTCTTTTCCTCCCATCCTGCTTTGCCACCATTGCCCCACATCCTTCCCCATTTTCAGAAGAGCTCTGAACATAGCTAGACTCAAAAACCTATTGATCCCCCTACCCACCCATTTTGCCAACTAATAGGAAAATGGTCATGGCTGGGATTCTTTTAGTCCTCACTTAGGTGATAACAAAACAGTGAAATGGATCACTATGGCCACACCCTAAATATTAGGGGAGAACCCTGTAGGTATTTGGGTTCATAATCCTTGGGCAGGTCTAAGGAAGCTGTGCCCTTCCCACCAGATGAAAACTTGGTTTTCTGCCAATTCATGGCATCTTGGGACCAGGGAAGAACATGATATGTCCTACAAAAACTTAGACTTCATAAATTGAGCCCTTAATAGTAAGTAGAGACAAAACCCAAGAAAGTCTTTTTCTTCCTTTATGTTATTTTAAAGGGCAGGAAAGGCAGCTTGTCACCTGTGGCTGTGGTAACTAGATGACAGTGGTGAATGCAACTCTGGACAGTCTGTTTTATTTACCCTTATTTATCTCTTCTCCAACCTAAACCATTACCTCATAAGTAATACCTGTTCTTTTGTGGCAGGTTACAAAATTATTTCTTGGCTTATTTTTATTTAGGCACCTAACTGAAGAAACTTATTTTTCTTGACTTTAGTTTAGGAAATTTTGGTTTAACTACATGGTTTAGAGGTATGCCAAAATTACTGAATCTTTTTAAGATGGCAGACATCCTGGGGAGACAATCTCCTTAGACCCTAAGACGTCAGTAGTAACAAAAAATTCTATCTTTTTTTTTTTCACACTAGATTATTTAATAGAAATCCTAGGGGTGAACAAATGCCAGTTGAGCTGGAGTCTAGTCTTGGAGTCATTACAGCAGCCACTCATCAACAGGTAGGCTAAAACATGTGTACCCAGTATCAACACAAATAAGGCTGTCTGTGGTCCCAGAGGTATGCAGGGTTTCTAAAGCCCACATTGAGAATGGAATTCTAGACTTGCTATGGACCTGACTGCAAAGTCTACGTCCAGGTTTCATACACATTAAGTAAAATCCAGACTTCTGAGCAGGTCATTTCATGGTAGTAAGTGACTATGGGACCAGCCCCTATTTGTATTTGGAAGAACTCAGCACAGAACTCCATATGAGCTGCTAAAACCCTGTTCCAGGCTCGTCCAGTGTGCTTAACAGTTCTTTCCACCATCTGCCAGCCATGTTAACACTGCAAAAACATACCTTGGCCTATGCATTATAAGCCACATATGATTTTTATTAATTTTTATTGGTGCTTTATAATTATACATAATAGTTGGATGTGAGGGCAATCTGGCTACTACATCTATTACCCCATTGATTTTCAGAGTTGATTAGGCAATCTGGCTGGTGAGGCAGGCATTCCCTTCCTTCATCACTGCTCCCTGTGCATTCTTCCAGAAGCTGGACACTTAGTAAAGAGGATAACCTTCTTCTAAGAGGAAGTCCATTCTTCAGTCAAGGGCGTATGAGTAGCTGTGCTCCCCTTAGAATTTTTAACATAGAATTATAGATTTTTAACATAGAATCCTAACCTCACTGCAAAACTTGACCAGTGTTGAGATTAGGGGTTGTCTCTGCTTAATATGAAATAGATGAGATTGTGTCTTTCAACTGCCACTCCTCAAGAGTCCTGACTTTGTCTCACTGTCTATAAGGTAGCCTATAAATCTGTAGTTATTAATCTTAAGAAGAAGCAGTAGTTAGTAATGTGATATCACAGGGATTTTCCCTTATAGTTCTTCAGAATAGTCTTATGTGCTAATGTAAAAAGAAGTGGCAATTTATAAAATCTAGTCTCAAGTACTGTTATTGCCATTATTATGGTTGTGGCTTTTAGTAATTCAACAAACACTTATTAGTAGTTCAGTAAACATCTTGGGAGACACTTTATCAAAATGCTGCAGTTTAAAGTTATCAGTAACGGGTGAAGGGGGAAGCTAAAATAAATGTCACAAATAGGATCATATGTTTCTTGACTGAGCCAGATTCTTCTCTAAGTTCTTTTATCCATTTGTTTCAGACATTTGATTTACTGCCTTGGAGACATCATCATAGAATTCTTGAATCTCAGTGCATCTGATGAGGAATCTGCCTCAAACACTTCTGCCTCAGATACTCCAGGCATCCCCAAGAGGATGGGAGTCTCCTCTTAGCTAGGGGTTATTCACATGATCTTCACAGATTAAGAAAGGAGACTTAGCCACCTAGAGACCAGTCAGGATGCCTGGACCTCAGGAATCACCTTACAAGGCCTAGGTTTCAGTGGCTCAATTCTCCTATGAGTCCCACTCCATTTGTAGCAGGTGACAAGGATGTATATGTACAATTGCATGCATATTCATGTACATGGCTTTTTTTTTTTTTTGTGATGTTTGTATTGTTGCTCGTGGTAGATCCTGTGTACTTTGGAGAAGGAAGCTGTGAAGTAGAGGAATGAGCCCCTTTTGCTTCTCCTTTTGCCCTTCTCCCTAAGACTGCCAGAAATCTGATCCTGTACATACATGTGCCCAATCCATGAACACACATGATCAAGATCTGGAAAGAATAAGAAAAAACTATAGCCAGATATCCTTGGAAGAGAAAACAATCTTCTGAGCTCTCTGTTCCCACCTGGAAACTAAAAATTCGTTCAGGGCCACTCTTGAAAGCCAAATTCCCTGGTCCTACCTAGTTACCTAACAATTCTAAAAGAAGAGGGAAGGAAAATATTTCTTAAGGGACTTCTCACTCATTGGCTGTTGTCCAGCACAGCAGCCTAATGGAGGGTGCTGTGAATGCTGCTCCCTTGGGTGGCCACACTTTTCCTCTCCAGAAGGTTTCAAAGCAAACTGCCAGAACTTCTGGTAAATCCACCCCACCCTTCACACCCTTTCCTGAAAGGGATTTGCAACACAGATTTTATTTATTAGCTTTCCTCCCAACCCCCTGCCCAAAAGCCATTGAGTTATTGGATTTGTGACCTTCCTTCTGTCTTCAACAAAATCACATGGGAAATTATATATATATTCAGCCTCATTGTTTCCAAAGAGAAGGGAAAGTACTTGCTCCATGATTGGGGATGCCCAGAAACCCAGAGAGTAGAGAGTTCTTCCTTCATACATCTTTAGCAGAAAGTTTTTACTCTGAAGAGATAATATTAGCATACTTGCAGGAATTAGTTTTAACTTTCTGCTCCTTAATGATCTAGTTAGTCTTTAAGAACCAAGCAATGAGGACAGGTTCTCCAGCAGATTGTAGTATCCACTAGAGAGATGGAACAGTTCAAAGGAATTGCCGGTAGAAAAGGGACCATGTGGAGTTACAAGGAAAGCACCGCTCATTCAGTGTGCATGAATATCTGGTGAAAAAAAGTTTCCAGGGTGCCACCAGGAGATCATGGCTAACCCCTCAGCCCTTTAGCATCACACCTGCCTCTTTGTACCCTGTTTTCACTGAACCATGAAATCTTCTTACTGGGAGAAAAAGAGTCTTTAAGAATTAGACCAATTAGAATGGGGTGGGGCATCAAGAACCAACATCAGGGTTCTTGTAGACTTTGAAGTAGGTAACGAGCACACAATTAAAGTTGTTCGTAGAAAAACGTTGTGAAACCATGTTACTTTTTACCTCCTTTGGTGGCTCCTAACCTGTGAAACCATGTTACTTTTTACCTCCTTTGGTGGCTCCTAACCGTAGTTATGTTATGATGTAATGGAAAGGCTTAGGTATGCTACTCTTGCCAAAGGGCAAGAAAATGAATGAGATAATCATTCGTGACCCCTTCTGGCCTTAAAGTTGATTATGACAGTAACTTGACTTTAAAGTTCTGGAAGCATCTTCCACCCTAGACTTTCACAACAGAGTAGCTTGTGGAATTGCAGGGGTCTGGCAGGACACTTTAAAGCTGATCCTATGACTCTTTCAGTGAAGACCATTCTACTTTGGTGAGGTGGAGACGGGTAGCCTTCTTTCCCCATACTTTCCCCTCATGTGTACCTACCCTTCTTTCCCCATACTTTCCCCTCATGTGTATCTGCAGACTTAGATTGCTTTAAATTCACTATAGGTTCTGGCTCAGATGCAGCACAAAGTTGGTGGATGATAACCTGACACACCATAAAATTCCTATAACAGTGAATTCTAAGGAATCTTTGACACTTCCATCCCATAAAACTTGCTTGCATTTCATGTTATATAAGAGATCCCACCCATGCTCCACCTGCCCCTAAAAGATAAGCTATCCTCACAGTCCATTGGAAGGAAATGGGTTAGCCTAGACAAAAAGCTTGTCAGTCCACCTCTGATCCTAAATACATAACCACTATAATATACTATATTAAGCTGTCTTTTATGTTACAGAGAAAAATAAAATCAAATTTTCATTTTTAAGAAGTCTATAACAAGAGCTAGCAAACTTGTTTGTTAGTTTGCTTTAGAGGAGGAAAAGTTTATTTTGGCTTCCAGTTTCTGAAGTCTCCTTCCACAGATGGCTGACTCCACAGCTCTAAGCCACGGTGAGGCAGAACATCACAGCAGAAGGGCATGACAGAAGAAAGCAGAAGCTAGCAAAATTTTTCTTTAAGGGGCTAGAGAGTAAATATTTCAGCCTTCATGGCTATCTGGTCTCTATTACTTAGCTCTTCCATTGTAGTGTGCAGACAGCCATCGACAATTCACAAACAAATAAGTGTAGCTGTGTTCCAGTAAAATTTGACTTACAAAAACAGGTAGCTGACCAGATTTGACCCATGAATTATAATTTGCAGAGCCTTGGACTAGCAAGTTAGAATAATGCTTATCAAACTTCTACATGGCTGCAATTCATTCACCTGGGATCTTGGGAAAATGTAAGTTTTGATTGATTTGTTTGGAATGAGGTCTAGTAAACGTACTAGTGCTATGCTATAAAAATGTCCATGACATGATTATCTCACCCCTTCACTGGGTGAGGAAGCAGTTGGAGATGCCGGTCTTCAGGAACCCATTCAGCCAAGCTACCCTGGCAAGCCTCAGTTTCCACAGACTTTCCACAGACCTTCAGCACCTGCTGTTTATCCCTTGCAGTGGAGCAAGATGTGTTTTCCCATGATGAAGAGAGGAAGGTTAGTCAACTCTTCTGGATAGGAAAGGGGACAGGAACCAGGGAAGGAGTGGTAATTGGGAAGGAAGGGAAACCATGATGCTTTTGTAGTTTAAGGCCCAACTGGGAAAGCTCTGCCATGACTTGGCCCCTGTTTCCTTTCCACTGGAAATGCCAGAAATCATAGGGCAGTTTTGGCTCACACTGCTTTTGTGGACAAGAGAATGAAACCATTGAGGGGTGAATTTGAGCACACAAATGTCCATCACTTGAGAGAGATGGATACACACAAACAGGATTTCTCAGGAAAAAAAGCAGTGAGGGAGACATTGCCCCAAACATAATGTCCGAACCCTGAACCTCACCTGTGTGTGTGTGTATCTAAACCAAAAAGAATATCTAGGTGTCAAGCAAGAAACAAGTGAAACTCATTATTAAGTGAAGCTTTTTCAGGATGTGGCTCAGTGGCAGTAGTGAAGGAAGCAGACACAGCTCTGAAATGGCTGAGAAAACATGGACACCAATAGTCACCTTAGCAGACACACTGAGCTATTCTCAGACTTGCTGAGCCTTCTTGCTGTCTCCCTCTCACTTCTTACCAGTCTCTGGTCTGAAAGTTCATTTTGACACTGTTTTCTTGAAAGTGAAAACAAGCATGTAACAGGATGCAGAGAACTGGCTTGATATCTGACAACTGGACTTCTCTACATGTCTTTACTTTTCAGACTTCACTTGCAAATGCTTCTGTAGGAGTCACTAGCAGTTACTGGGTTGGGAGGGAAGAATAAAAGAACAAGAGAAGGCACAGTATCTAGATTCAAACTTAGACAACATGTCTTGAAGTGACATTTTCTGTGCTTTTTATCCTAAAGTAGATCCCTTTGTTACTAGCCAGTATTGGTTAGATAATAAAAACTAATTTTAGCATCAAAGTGTTATAATGATTAAGAAGGTAAGTATGTGTTTCATATATATAAATCATCCACACTTTGGCTTTTGTTTTTTCTTCTGCTTACATCATGTCACCACTGCACCCAGTTATTATAAACAAAGGAGGGTTGTTATGATTACTTCTAGAAACTTGAATTGACTCCTGAGGATAAAGACCCAGCTAGATAAACACCAAAGTCTCTGATTGCCAATAAAGAGACTAACATGTCCACAGAAGCTATGACTTTTGGGTCTCAGGTCAAATTGGATTTGGTGACCAATAAGCACAGATAATCAACCCTCTTGCCTGTAGCCCCTGCTGAGGAATCATTCTTCTCCAGTTGTTATTTAAAATATTAACCATGAATCTTGCCATGAGGGAGAAGACACCTTAATAAGGGAGGAAACCTCTTTTGAAGTTATGAAGTCCAACTTCATAAAGTGATAGCAAGTCAGTTCCTTTCCAGCTGCATATGGTTGTACTCAAAAGAGCCTTATGTTACTGAGGAATGCAAATGACTCAAGAACAGTGAAGGCATCTTCCATTAAGGCTTCATGAGTTTGTGAGTCACATAGGCTTGGTTGTCAGACTTTTTCATGGGGAAGAATCCATTATAGAGATTATCATTTTTTGATGGTAACAAACACATTTTGTATCTCTTTTACTCCTATTATATCCCTATGCCTCCCCAACCTTTCTCCTCCCTCTTTCTCTCTGTGAGATACACACACACACACACACACACACACAAATTATATATACGTATATATAATTTGTGTGTGTGTGTGTGTATATATATAAAATGCTGAATTAAAGCAGAAGGAGCAGTAACAACAATATATATTATACACACACATATATGAATGATGTAAAACCAGGCTTTGCTTATTTAAGAGGTAAAATATGTGAATAAATCCAATGGAAAAAATTGCTATGGATCTAAGATGGCAGCCGGGACAACAGAGTGACAAATTTTCATCTTTAGGAACTTAGTATATCTTTATTTCACAGCAAGTATCAAATGAAAGAAGTTTATTCTTTTATTTTCCATACCAAAACAGTACTGGTTCTCATCTAAGTATGTGGGCCATAAGGTTTTTTTTAAAAAAAAAAAAAAAAAAGCTTTTTTAAAAAAATGTGTCTCCATTTGAAAATGGTTTTAAAAATCATTCAGTCATAAAAGTAGCCAACATCCCTGCTGATTCCACAGCCCTTTCCCCCAACTGCACCTACTTTTCATCTAAGATCAGGAGTAAACCAAATATCTGCCTAAAGAAAATAATATCAACTTCTTCCTGCCTCAGACACAAATCTGCAAGGAATACAATTACTATGAAGAGAAAATCAACACAACTTTCCTTTCCCCCTGCTATTTTAATTCTTTAAAATTATCCTTGAGTTCCTTTAAAAGTCTATTTCTCAGTTTGCCTAAGCCATGTATGTATAAGATACCACAAGGAAAACTCTTCAAAGTTTGTAGTAAATGTGAAGAAAAGGAATGATAGCATAGAGTATATGCTGTCTTCCCCACCACATTTGCAACTATTTGCACAAACCTGACAGATCAAAATGAGTCAGCTTGTGGTTAGAATGAGAAGGAAGCCAAGACCTCTGGTTGCAATGCTGCTTTATGGCAATAAAATCACCTGTTGTTTCTGTCTGAAGAATAATTGTCAGTCCATTGATGGAAAAGAAGGAACAGACAGAGGATCGAGTTCAGTCTGAGAATCAAAACTATTATTCATTTTATAAAAAAGAGAATCTCTAGACAACTTAGTGCTTGGGTCATATATTAGTTTAAAGTATGCCTGCATAAGAAGAATTGCATCTGTTGTGGAATGAAGTCCATGCCTCATGCCAGTGCACATTTGCACAACATATGATGTGAGATAGTCTCTAGAGCCAAGATTGGTTCTGTATCCACCCTGGGGCAGGTTGGTTAGTCTCCAGTGTAAACCTCCTTGGGATTAACCACTTATTCCAGTGGAGAGCACTGGATAATTAATACCAGATCTGTCCCAGACAGCTTTGTATATCTTCATATGAGTGAGGACCCAAAGTTTCCTTTTCAGTGGCTCAGTTTGGATGGGGTAAAGAAATCTGTTGTTACAATGTTTAAAAGCAAAGCTGTATCCATATACATGTGTGTATCTTGCATAGATATGATCTTGGGAGTAGCAGATGGTGTATATAAGGAAGAGCTTGTCTGGACAGTTAAGAGGGGAATAAGTTCGCACATATGAATACAGCAATAATATCTGTAGCATTTCTGTTTGCAAGAGCAAGATTATGTCCTTTTAGCAATCTGGAAAGGATAGAGGCAAGAGCTTGTGTTTCAGCATGCTCTACATCTTGAGGTTTTGGAAATGGAAATGTGCCTACTATTGGGGGTGGGGGCAGGGATGACCTGAGTTCTTTATAGGATTAAGGTTTCTGTGGATCTTTTCCAAGTGATGGAAATTTTCTTCGTTTAGTCTTTTTCATACAACCATTCTTGAACCTATAGGTTGCCTCACGCAATTGCTTCTCTATATTCATTTCTGAAACCCTTTTATTAAAAACAAGAGCAGAAAATGACCTTAAAAAACTGTTCGTATCTCTATCATTTCTCCTTTTCTTGTACAGTGCCCAAATTATTTTCTCTTTATCCCTAATTTTTCCTCAACTTATCAGTCTAAGTGGGTAATTTGGCCCACAAGTCTATCTTTTTGATATTGGCATCAACTTAACTTTATAGGTAAGCCTTAATTGTGAGTATTTCCTGAACTTGACTCCATAGTTGTTATTCTGTGAGAAACAATGGCCCAATCTCCATCTGTGCAATCAGAATAGCCATCAAGCCTGAGATTTTGATAAATTATTCATGTTGCTCACTATTCACACTAGAAAATTTAGCCATACAGATATCTTCCTTGATTCTAAGTTCAGATTCTAGTTTCAAATAGTCTAGTGACTTGAATTTTCTATTGCAAATATGTTGTAAAAACAGCTCAGACACTGGAAAATATAGCAACTTTTAGAAACACTGATAAAGCCACTTCCCCCGGATAACTTCTACACTTTCAACTTCCTAGAGAAACTTTCTGAATACTGTGAAAATGCTGATTAATTAGAGCTCAGATTGTGTGGGGAGGGGAAATATGTGCAAAACAAAGGAAGAAAAACTGACATTAGTTGGATCTCTTCATTCTATGTACCTGCTTCCTACCTTCAGTGATAGACAATATGTAATAAGCTCCTTTTTAAAATTTGTTTAAAAGCTTGTTTAAAAATGTAAATAAGTTCATCTTAAAGTCAGCACAAATTGATTGGCAAGTACACAACTGTCTTCACTGAGTGACAATCCAATTTCCATCTAATCTGCCCGTAGATAATGCCTATTGCCTCTGTTTTTCTGCTGGCCTATAAGCTCTTTGCAGGCAGATTATCTTGTTTATTGTAATCTCTCCACCATTTAGTGCCCAACCAGGCTTAGTTTTCTCCTTATAAAGTCTCTCACATCACAAATTTCCCAGAGCCTTGGCCAATTTCTCCATCCTGTGCACAAGGTAATGATGCTAGTGATAGACTCTGCACAGTTGCTTGGTCTATAGAAGAAGTTGGCAAGCTTCTTGTGTCAGTGAGCAACATTTTTCTTTCCTTCTGGTAAACTTGGAATCCTAATCACCATCTGACAATTTTCTTTCCATCTTCTTGTACACCATAGAACCTGAAGAACCCTCCTGACTAAACCAGAGAAAGCAAGAACACACAGTTCCCAGCAAGCAAAGACAAGGCCTTGAGCTCTTGTTTCCCCGAGACTTTGCCTTTGCTAGGAAAATACCAACAGAAGATAGGTTGCTTAACCTCAACCTGCAAAGAAGGGGGTTCCTGGAGCTGCAGCTGCCTCTATCTAAAATTTGCAAAGCTCTAAGACTGTTGCCACAGTAACCAGCGAGCTCCTGCTTCTAATGCCTTTGACACAGCTTATCTAATCCGAGGTGGAAATGTCCCCAGAAACAGACCCCAGGCTGGCAGCTCTTAACTGTGACCCACCTCATAAGCACATATCCGGCAAAAGCCTCTTGGTTGCTGGGGTGAATCAGTCTCTGATCACCACAGGAGGAATCTGATGAACTCCAAGGGTGTTGCTCTTTTTTTCACTTGCAGACAGACCCTTCAGCCACATCTCTTGGTGAAAGTGTTCATCTTGTGTGGTTTGTAATGCTGAGTTAAAGTGGAAGGGGGCAGTAACAACAAAGGGTGTGAATTTTCTTCCTGTTCTCAGGGCAGCTTCTCAGCAAACAATGTTAAAAAATGAAGGGGAGTATTAGGTCTGCCCTTGGGGAATTTGTAGACATTTAATGGCTATAATTGATTGTTTCAGCTCACAGATGCACCCACCACTGTAAGAGAATGCTGATTTCACTCTTACAGCACCTCTTGCTGTAGGAAAACAGGCGATTAATAGTATCCATGAGACCTAGATCGTGTCTATTTAACTCTTCGGGCAATACAAAGGCAGAGATGCTCATTTTATGCTTTGGAATTGTCACGATATGTCCTGTGACTTCTACTCACTCCAACTTCTGCCCCCCATCGCTGCCAAAGGAAAGCAATGAAATGGAAAGGCACATTTATCTGACTTGAGAGGAGCTGGCTTCTAGTCAAGGGTCCTGGAGACGTTGGACCAATCTCCTCCTTACCTACCTGGACTTCAGTATGTTCAATACAATGTTGGATGAGACCATAGGTATGACCCCATCCAGCTTGACATCATCTGTAGAGAGCAGAAATTGTCAGGTCTGGGCCAGTTTTGGGAAGGATAATGATGCTCTCTGAATGTTCATCATAAAAATGAATAATTACATTTCATCTTTACTTTTATCTCAGCAGGAATTTTCTTCATCTTCGCTTGGATCTGTCTAAATTTAAGGGAGGAAGCAAGGATAACGAAGGGGAGAGATGGAAAGAAATAAGGGAATATTATTCTTCCTGACAGGAATATCCTTGGCTTTCTCTGGACTCCTTAGATAAACAGTTCCTATCTTATTCTATGTTTTCCTTCTTTGAACTTGGCAAAATCAAGTCAATTCAGGATGTCATACATATTTAAAGAGTAAACTACATCATCAAATTTTCATGGAGTCCGAGGATCTATGTTCATGTCCAATTAGCCTTTCCCAGTAATGTTGATGGTATTGATCATTAAAGGATCCACTTTTAATTTTCCATTTTCTGGAGTATTTTCCATTGGCCATCTTGTTTTATCCTTTCATTATTCTAAGGAATATACTTAGGATGAATTTAAATCTTGACCATCGTTTTAAAGGTCATTTGGAGAGTTACCCCACATCCTCATTTTACTGAAAAGAAATAGGACAGAATTTGTCTTTGGCCAAGCTCATTTTCTCACTGTATTGGAAGGCCACAGCACAGTGATTGAGAACTTAATGACTCTGCCTACACACAACCAGGAAGAAATCCAATTCTGCTACCTTTGTATCTTTGGGAAAATGGAGTAAACTTTCTGTGCCTTAGTTTCCTCATTCATTAAACAAAAATAAGAATAGGGCTCACCTCTCAGAGAATGGTCAGACAAGGGAGTTGCAAGTTGATGTATTTAGAAACAATTTCTAGCACACAATGCATAATACATGTTTATGACAAAACCAGGACTAGAACCAGAATCTTCCAACTTCTAACTTAGTGACATTTCTGTACCCTACACCAATACTGTCCCTAATACACAGATAGGAACCTGAGTCTACAGTGTTGCAGTGAAAAGCCCATCCAAATTCTTTCTGTTCAGTGGGTCTTGCACCAAACTCCTCTGGTGCACACTGTCCTCCATAGTCCTGAATAGGTGTCAACACGCTTAAGTTTTTTAAATGTATAAGCCCAGCACTATTTTCCAATACTACTGTTAGTCTGATCCAGACTCCCCCAATCCTCTGGGGAAAGGGTCTTCTACCCATGGGTCTTAGGAGATAAAAAGACTTAGGGTGATTTCTTGCTATGGGCACACACTTGTTATTACCTCCAGATCTTATGTTGTGTGTCCACTGGAATGATCCTCAATGCCAGACCATTTGAATTGACCATTTATCATCCCCTGAGTGCTAGTCTTGTTTTTGCACCTTCATTGTGTACTTCCTGAGAAGACAGACTATGTTGTATGTTGGTTTATAACCCTCTAGAGCTCTTAATGAGATGCTCAGAAAATAATAAGTACACAAATATTTCTGGGTTTGTGAATTAATTGTGCGGTAGACTGCTGATGGCCTCCCAGAGTGGTTAACAGTGGTCCCACCTACTAGTTCCAAGTTCAGGGGGAATAAAGAACTTATCTAGATGCACTCAACACCATCATTCCAGACCAAGGGGAGAAGTAATCTCTCTGCACTCACACCAGGTTATCTGCTACTAAGCCTCAGAACCTGTGGAACCTAAGCTCCATGTAGTGTGCTGGAACCAAACACAACCTTGTTCTACAGTTAAAAACAAGTGAAAGTCATCTGCCAGGGTCACTTGGCACCAAAGCTCTAAGACAGAAGGGGCTCTGGTTAAAGGGCAGCTCAAATCCAGGCATTAAAATAACCTGAATGGTGTCATTTTCTGATCAAATTCCTTTCCCTGTCGGGTTTGTGATTTTTGAGCCTGAGAATGTCCTTCATGGCTCAGGCTTCTCTGCTGTCACACTGGTCTCAGGCCTGGAATGTGAGCACTGACCGTTGAAGTCTGATGAAACTATGTCACAGTCCCAAAATGGAGAGACATTATCTCATAGATGGTGGCAGCAGGCAGGCACCAGTGTGCTGCTGGCAGGCAAGGCCCAGAATTTGGTCCTAAGAGTACTTCACACCCATGGCTCTCGGTGGACAGACGGTCTGATGCCCCAGACTTTAATCTGTGCTCTAGTAAGTTGAGATCTTGCACATCTTCATCCCCGGGAGACAGGAAGGCGCAGACTGAGATGGAGAGAGCCTCATTTCTGGATAAGTCACATTGTCAGAAAAATCCCTTGTGTGTCTTAAAGCACCTGAGGGCTAGGGGTGATTGCAGCCATTCACATGACAGAGGACGTGCACCCAGGGAGTATAAGCCTCCAAACTTCCCTTACGGGGTTCCTGGGGGGCAGGATTGCTTCACCCAAGGACAGGTGGGGTTTGCTGCCCTATGAGATAACATCCCTATCAGCATTTGGAAGGGACGAAGCCTCCAGGGGAGCCCATTAACCTCTCCTTGAGTAACAGCAACATCCAAGTCCTGATTATTTTGATCAGCAAAGGTCACTCAGAATAAGAGAAGCACTCTTTTATCCAGTCTTGGAAAAAGGGGTCTGACAGCTTCCTTCCTGCTTGGTCAGCTTGTCTTTACCACTTGCTTTCCATTGCTATGCTCTGAGATGCTTTGATTCCATCCAAGCCATTTGCCTATTAACATGTCCACTCTGCCTTCTCCCACTGCTTACCCTTCCTTACCAGAAGAGTCCATTTCTGAGTTTGCTGTGCCCTTTCCTCATGATCCAGACTAAAACTCCTCTTTGGCCAGCATCTCTGTCTGCCCCACCCTCTATCTCCACAACTCTTAAACAGCTAGAGTCTGCTCATGCATTTTTTTTTCCAGTGCTGGGAATGGAACCCAGGATCTGGTATGAGTTAGGCAAGAACTCTACCACTGAGCTACACTCCCAGCCCCTGCACATGCATTTCATGCTTGATATACTTCCTTTCACCATAGGCTACCCGCTTTTATATGGATAAGTGCATGTCTTTGAAAGCATCCTCCAGTATACACTGAGGGCTTGGGAACTACTAGTGCCAAGCAAGGAGTCTTGCTCACAATATTGACTTTTAGGAATGCTACTGCACTGTATCGATTCTAGTGGCCCCTTAGAATCAAACCTAAGACTGAATCCAGGATATGGCTTCATTTCCCAACTCTCCCCAGTCTCCTTACTTTTCTTAAACATGATAAGCCCATCCCTGTATCAGGCCCTTACACTCACTCTTTCCTATACCTGCTATAATCTTCCCTGAATGTCCCCATGGCTCACTCCCCACTCCATTGTCTGCCTCAATGCCACCTTCCCAGAAATCAGTTTCCTGACCATTTGTCTAAAAAATAGCATTCCTTATCCCATAATTCCTATCCTGCTTGATTTTCTTCCATAGCACTTACAACTAACCGATTTACATGATAGTATTTTAAAATATATTATACAAAGGTTTGTAATTTTTTAAATTGAAACATAAGATGTATTTTTTTATGGCATACAATGTGAAGATATGTTTACATATTGTGAACTGGCTAAATCACGCTATTTAACAGCATTGTCTCACATATATACCATTTTTTTTTGGCAAGAACACTTAAAATCTACTGCAATTTTCAAATGCATGTTATATTATCACCTGCAGTCACCATGTTGTCTGATAGATCTCTTGAGCATACTCATCCCATGTAACCAAAATTCGGTGTCCTTTGACCAACATCTCCCTAATCCTTTAGCCCCTCAGCCACTAGTAACCACCATCTATTCTCTGTTTCTATGAGTTCAATTATTTTATATTCTATATATAAGTGAGGTCACACAGCATTTATCTTTCTGGTCTTCGCATACTTTACTTAACATAATGTCCTCAAGTTACAGTATATACTTTTAAATCTTTTATTGTGTGCAACCCCTATAAGAATGACGACAAACCCACAAAGGCCATGACCTTCACAGCTTGTCCTACAGCTGTCTGCAGTGTCAGGAATACTGTAGGAACTCACTCTGTGTTGAATGAGTAGATGAGTGAATGAACAAACAGGTGGACATTTCTCTGTTAAGTGAGGACCATTCTGTGTGCCAGTGTGACATGTAGTCAAGCCCACATGATAAAAGGTTTCCTTTCAAATAACTCAAACAGTATTTGAACTATAAAGGTCCTTGAAAATAAGTCAACTCCCCAATTGTACAAAATAGGAAACTGAGTCCCAAAGAGGCAGGAGAAAAAAGATGGAAATGAACTGGGAAAGTCACTATCTTCTAACAGTAAACTGTCCTTAGAGCATAGTCTGATGTGACAATTCATCTTGCTAGATTCTGAGTTATCGATTTTCTATGAGTTTTGCCTTAGAATAGTTTTTATTAAAATCAAAAGCAAAATAAACAAGAGAACAAGGCCAATAGCATAAAATGTCACTACTTCATATTTCCAAGTGTTTTTAGAGGCATTACTGAGAAGGAGGTACATATATTGCACTTAGTTCTGCACAAATACTGTTTGGATATTTTTTTCTTCATTCTTCCCATCCTTCCTGTGTTAGATAGGACTCAGGGACTATCTACATTTGCAATAAAGAGGAAATCCAAGCATATTCACAAAATTAAGCTGCAATTGGAGCTCTAGGTCTTCATTTGGTTTCTCCAGGCACCTGGGTCATGCAGTTGGGGTCACTACAGGGTACACAAGACCCCACTCAATGCACCATTGAGAAGGGCTCAGCTGCTATGTCAGCAACCATTAAAAGATGTTCCTGTTGTTGTTGTTGTCATTTTTAATTCTCCAAAGGATTCCAGGAAAGTACTACCCAGTCAAAAACCTTCTCTCCCAGTTGGCTTTCAAGGGTAACTGCCTCATGTTCTCCTCGTAAGATTGTGTTTGACAGCAATGAAAACCAACAGTTTAACAGCAGTCATTTCTTGGCAGGACAGATTGGTATGAGATTTGTCCCAAAACAAAATAAGCCTTTCAGGGAAGTGTATTTCAAGTCGAGCTCACGTTCCCAAGACACTGAGATTCTTACATGGCTGACATAGGAGCCGAGGCAGGACCCAGCCAGGAGCATCAAATGATTGCCAGTAACACAACGGAGCTGAGTGGAGATTCGGGGGCTGACTGCTTCAAACATGGGGGAATCCAGAAACGCTGCAGAACTCCTTATGGAGAAAGGCCTCCTCATACTCCATCCTGCTCCTCTTAAATGGCCTCCTTAGTGGCTTCAGCCCTGGAAGTGGGAAGTCTGGGTCAGAATAACACCCTCTTTTCTTTTCATCCACCTCTTTTCTCTCCCCAGCTCCATCATTCCCCACAATTCTTCCCTCTCCATTGACTACTATTTTCAATGCTGTTTTTGCCACCTAGAGGAGCTTTCTGGACATTGTCACTAGGGAGTATGACATGTCACCTGTACCTAGCAACTCATTGCACCTATGCCTCTGATCCTCTGTACCTAAGTTGTTAACAAGGTCTTGATTTCTAGGTCTGGTTCTCCTATACAGGCTCACAGAACCACTCAGATATCAGAGGTGGAAGTCCCCACAGGCATCTTCAGCTTAGGGATAACCAACTGATTTCTGCATCCCCTTTTCTGAAAGACCACAAGATGGCGCCCAAAATTGCCCAAGCCAGGCCAAACGCAGTGGCATCAAGACCAGCAGGTGGCGATGTTGCCTTAGCCATCGTGAAGGGAGTGGCTGCAAACACACAGGCTGGGTATAGCTAGCATCCATAAATGCTGGGTGATTCCCAGAGATGCTGGATATGTCTCAGACAATCTTTGACACCCGCCCTGGAAAGCAAAGTTGACCTCCAAATGCTGGATGTGGGAGAGATAAGAGCCACTTTGACCAGACAGAAAAGTTCTAGATGAGGAAGCCAAATTCTTGGACTCTAGTTCTGGCTGTCTTGCTAGAACAGAACTTGGAGGTTATGAAGGAAATATGTCCTTCTTTCTACCCAACAGGTTTTCCCACATTTCATGTGTCCATTATACATTAGCAACATATTCTATAGTGCCAGGCCAACTTAGATTCAGGAATAAAAAAGGCAAACCCTGTGCCCTGGATGAATTCATCATTGATGGGATAGGAAGGCATGTGATCAGAAGGTCACAGTATGAGAAGGGACACAGGAACACACCAAGGTGGCTAGGAGACGAATGCTACCATCTTGGTGGGCTGCAGAGGTGGACCAGTAAAAGCTATCTGGTAGCCAGCCCTCAAAGAGGTCTACAAAGCTGAGAAGTCATCTTAGGAAAGATTTGTAAAGGGAATTCTAGTAGGTAAACAAGGAGGAAGACTAGCACAGTGGACAGGTAGGGTTCTCATGTGAGTGACTAAAAGTAGAAAATGGAGCCAGACCAGGATATAAGGACCAGCGGGAACTGTGGTCTTGTGCAGAATCTCCCCAATAGGTTTTGTGGTCAATATGCTTTGGAGAAATTCAAAGGGCAGCAGTGTCCCTAATATATATTTTAATTTGTGGGCACCTATGGAGATATATAAGTACCCCCCAAAGGCAAAGAAAACTCAGGAGAGACATTGGAGCCATGTCCAAACTCCATATTTGACTTTGATCTGGTATTGTCACTAGTCACTGATTTTCTCTCTTCCTGATCAGGAAATACAACAAACTCACTATGATATTGACCTGGTAAGATCTCAATTGAAAAGCAACTGTATGTTTACTTGATCAGGTCAATATACACATTCCTTATGCAAGAAAAGTAGTCACCAATTCATACTATCACCATCAAAACCAAGACCCATGCCCATGTTCTATGGAGGAGAAACATAAGACCCAGGGAGTTTAAATCATCCGATTAGGGAGAGGAGGTGATAGCACCAGGGCCCTCTCACCTAACCGCAAATTCTACCCTTCACCCAGGCAGTGCTGTTCTCTGGATCCTTAAGGAGTTCACTACCCAGATGAAGAAGGGAAGCTAAGCGTGTCTAGTAGTACCCAGTATATTCACACATTCTTTGAGAGATGCTATACAGGATAACTCCCAGGTTCCAAAGATGGGAGGCCCATAACACACAATGCCATTGTTTGCAGAAAGAGGGATAGCTGCTGGTAGCTGGTCTGGTTTCATTCTAAAACTCCCTGCCATTCTAGCATGAGTGAGCACCAAATGTTCACCAGCATTAATGGAGCCCACAGTACACCATGAGTCCTAAAGATACAGGACAATAGACTTTTATTCTCATAGTTCTGGAAGCTAGAAATCCAAGATCCAGGTCCTAGAAGATGCATTATCAGGTGAGAGTCCATTTCCTCATAGATAACTATCTTCTCACTATGTCTTTATATGGCAGATGGGACAAATTCTCTGAGGCCTCTTTTATAAGGGCACTAATCTCATGCACAAGGGCACCACCCTTATGGTCTAGTCACCTCCCAAAGGCCCTTTCTACTGATGGGGGTAGTGATTTCAATAAATGGATTTTGGTGAAACAGAAGTATTCAACCACAACATAGGAGGGATTTTCAGACTACTTACCAGTGTGCAGCAGCTAGAATAGTCTGATGCTTCATTGCCACATGCACCAATGCAGGAGGGAGGGCCATCCAAGATTTGGTGTACCCATAGTTTAAATAGCATCTTTCCCAGATGCTGTCTCTCAACACAGAAAGCAGCCTGCAATTTCATTTTTGAAACTTTCTGCAACAGTGATTCCCTTGCCAGTGTATTGAAGTTTATGGAGAGAATGTTTTTAATCAACAAAGTGTACTGAAGTGGTGTACAAAGTTCCAGGAAGGAATGAAACCCACCAGTGAGACAGAGTCTAACAAAGACAAATGAGGGACTTTACTCAACGCCACTAGAAAGAAGGCAGGATCTGTTAAGGGGACTCTGATGGGGAAAGATTATGAAGAAAAAAAAAATCAAACAAACAGCAGTTCCTGATAACAGAACAAATGACATGCAAATGATCAACAAAATCACATGCAAATTAGCCTCAGATTTATCCAAAGAGGCTTAGAGTCAGGAGAACATGAGATAAAACTCAACATCAGTGAATGGTGGTACCAAATCACAAAGTGGGGAGAGGACTTGCTCTGATAGATGCAGCTAACACAGAGAACCCACACATCACATCATGAGCACTGGTTTCAGTGCTCCACGTGCATTAACTCCTTGATAGACGGATAGACCACATGAACTATGAGGTTTTCTCCCATACTTACACATAACAGATGGGAAAATTAAAGCTGAGAGAGGTAAGTAGCTTGCCCCCACACTGGGGTGCAAACCCAAGTAGCCTAGTCCCAATGCATCCCCATCACCACTTTGCTCTATTGTAGCCCCAAGGACCATGGTAAACCAGCAACAGAACCCGGACAAAATCCCAATATCCCAACTCCTGCTTCCTGCTCTTTCCACCATTCTACTCATTCTTCAGTTTCAAGCCATGCCCTTGCTGGTTCCTATGTCTGGAATCTCCTCTCTTAGATCTACACAGAGCTGCTCTCTCTCAATTGCTTTTCTGACCTCCCCAAATAAAATCTCAACACTTTTACCCTCTGTAGTTCTGGCATGTCCTATCATGTTCTGCTTTACTCACGGACAACGGTCATCACACTACTGTATTATTACTAAACAATCACTGATTTTTTCGCTTGCTTGTTTGTTTAATACTTTCTA